TTATTTTAGCTCCTGAATACAGACATACTTTAATTAACGAGTAATATAATAAACCGAGCGAACAAGATATTGTGGAGGAATTGCAAACGACAAAAGGCCGTCAACAGAGTACAAGATAGAGGGTATTAATTAATTTCCAACTATAACAATAAATTTACAACTTAAGACATCATGTCGATTGAAGCGTTATCCGGCAAAGTTTTCCTGCTGGTAACTGGTGCGAGCCGCGGTATCGGTCGCCAAATCGCGATAACATTTGGATCGATGCTGGAGGAAGGCTCGCACGTGCTTTTATTAGCGAGAAATAAGGAAGGATTGAAAGAAGTTGCAAAAAGTATACCTTCTAATGTGAAAGTTTGTACCATTAGTGCGGACTTAAGTAAATCAACTGATACCATATTGAAAGGTAAATTGTTCTCATTATCAAAATTGAGCGGCGCATACACACACACACACATCACACACGCGGAAAGAATTTGTTGAAAGGTTTAAAAATTGTGCTGAATACATATCTGAAAATTAATTCTTGTTGGATCATCAAAAAATTTTGTTGGAATCTTAAAAATTATAAGCATTGCTATAAAATTTTATATTATATTCTAGCAATTATTTTGACTTTCCAACAAAATTATTTTGATTATTGAACAAAAATTATTTTCAGATCTGCAGGATCCAGCAAAATTGTTCTTTCCGTGCATAGATGCAATGATTGAAGGGATTTCATTCATCTTGCAATAACAATTTCATTTTTATGCGTCCTAGAATTCATATCGGAATCTTTGAGGGGAACTACTTCCAATGCGTTTGATCGAGTGGTCCTGATACATAATGTTGGCTTCATCGGCAATGTCTTCCAAACTCTAAACGATATAGTGGACCTGAACATCTGGAGAGAATTTTACGATGTTAACTTTCATGTGCCTGCCATATTAAACGCGGTGGTCATGAATACATTTAATAGTAAAGCTATTAAGAAGACAATCATCAATATTACATCGCCGTTGGCTATTCAACCGCTCGTTTGTCTTGGCCAATACTCCTCGGCAAAAGCAGCACGAGAAATGTACTTTAAGGTATATGTACATATACAAAGGACGATAGTGCTAGAAAGTCTGAAAAGTTTGTTGGATACAGATATATCTGGAAACACCTCTCGTTGGATCATCAAAATAATTTTGTTGAAAATTCAAATTGATTGCTAGAATATCAAAACGCTTTACAGCAATGATTATTACTTTTAAGCTTTCGACAAAATTATTTTCAGATCAAAATTTTTTGACCTTCCAGCAAAATCGTTCTTTCCGTATATTTTTTTAATACACAATATTTATATAATCATAAAATAGATATCATATTCTTTTATGTGCATTTTTCTTTGTACAGGTCTTTGCTCTGGAAAATCCTGATGTTAATGTGTTAAGTTACTCACCAGGACCTGTCGATACGGATATGTACACAACATTGTGCGAAAAATTTGCTGATTCAAAAACTAAAAAAATGTTTAATCAAATGAAAGAGATGGGAACCGTGTTGACTACAGAACAGACTGTCAATCATCTTGTGCAAGTCTTGAAAGAACAGAAATATAATTCGGCTGATCATGTGGATTATTACGACAAATCTACTTACGAGAGTATTCAAAAATCAAAAGATACATAACTTCTGCTCTAGCGTGAAGTGATGGATAGATGCACATGCGTATCGCGCATTACTATAATACAAACACACATTGTTGCACGGTGCAGGTATATAGTTTTGTAATATTAAAGATTGGGCTCGAGTACAATCCCTGTTAAAAAAATCGATAGAAAACGATAGGAACCGATAGAATCTGTCAAATATTTTATCGTGTCCTATCGTATCTAGCGTTCCACTTTTCTATTCCGAAAGAAATGTTATCGTTTTCTATCATTATTTGATAAAAGCGATTTTAATCGTTGAAATATCGATAGAATTTCTATGATAATTACTTATTGTTTTATACTGTTTTGATGAAATTTATAATAAATAAATGATTAAACATTATTATAATAAATTGTTTACACATGATAATTTTTTTAGGGTTCATAACTGAGATTAAAAACGATTATATCATTTTCTATCGTTTTCTATAAATTTTTTTTTAACAGAGATTAAGCTTCATTTAAGATTTTTTAGAAGTTTCTAGCATATCAGGTTCATCCACTATGATTTTTCAAAAATTGCGGAAAACGCGTTCTTTAAGGAATTTAACTCCATTTTTCTCAAAAATGTGACGTGATGGACAAATTCCGAAGACAGCATCATTTCAGCGCCCCAAAATCTACGAGAATCCATTCTCCTTTTGCAGGAAACATTTAGCATGATATCAACACTCGATGAATGACATTGTAATAAATTTTGATTCCACTTCTCCCCTCCGCCTCCAACTCTGATGACAATTGTCACCTTAAAACTTCTCTGTGATTAATGTCGCATTATAGGGTATATCATTTGCCAGTTTAGTCCCAAAATTGAGGGTCCAGAAAACGGGCGAAAAAAACATTTTTTGAGTCACCTCTTTGCTAAAAAAAAAAAGTTGTTTCTTTCAGCATAAAATATCACACGTCTTGTATTCTGTATGCGCGAATTTTGGGAACCTGTATACAGCATTATAAATGAAGTTCTACGGTCCAACCAAATGTGTTTGCAAACAGATATCCGAGAGAAATTGCCTTCAAAATTAATCAAGAGAATTGTGAGGCAAGCTTTAAACTATAATAACGATCTATTGAGTCCATCTTTCTTTTTCACACGCACGCACGCACGCACGCATTAATAATTAAGATCCTTTATCGTTAAATCATATCATCATCATCTTGCAGATACATCCTGTAAAGACCGACATAATCGATTACTCATTATTTATTTGGAAATTTATGAGCGTATCCAGGATTTTTTTCCGGGGAAGGTTTTATCAATCCTGTTAACTTAACACATAAATTTTGTGCATTAATAAATTGCTTTATTCGATATTTTTCAGAGGGGGGAGGGAGAGAGAGTTTGAATTCTCCAATCCTCCTCCTTTCCCCCTTGAGAGAGCCCATAATATTGTATTGTATATATGCAAGTAAAAGATTAAAAATTGTTACTAGCACTTTCCGCGTTCTGTGCCAAAAAATACAAATGCGAGAACAATCTCTCTGTGAGATCCCTGGCAGTAAAAAAAAATAGTTCATAAATGTTATTGTTGCGTCCGCCGCTCTCGTTCGAGACACTCACGCTTCACTCGCACACGCGTCCGCGCGCTTCCGGAATCACGGAAATGATTCAGCGATCAGATATGCAAAACCCTTTATTTCGTAAGTAAATAGAGATGTCAACGAGACATCGCGTCAATTCAATTACAAGAATCGGCGTAAATAAGAACATAGCAACCACGGAAAGAGGAGCGTCGTCTCAGAGAGAAACATGCGGACACAACACTCTATACATATATTTACAATTACGCGTGCGTATATGTATATCTTACAATATGAGAGCCGAGCACGGGTGTTGGTGTGTGAAATTCTTATCGTTACAATATCCAATCGTACACGATCTGCGTGCCACACTTGTCGGTTATGAAACACCATGAAGTTCTTTGCATGAAGCCGAAAACTTGTAACAAATTAAATTGACAAACAATTTGATATCTTTCGATGCTAATATGCATCTCTAAGATTCCCCTCCTCATAGGTAATTACTTCGCTATATTTGATTATTTTTTGGAGTCTATTCTATCTAAAACTTGTTAGAATAAAAAGTCAATTTACTAG